ATATATATATATATATATAAAGTATAAATGCATATATTTGAAAATAATTCATTTTAAATGATTATAAAGATATACTTCTCTTGCCTGGGTGAATAGTATTCGCTGAGTTTTGTTTACAGGTGTGACCTCTAGGGGGCCTTTCGAACCAGTCACAAGTTGATAACCAACAGTCAGAATTTTAGATGTTTACCAGCAGGCTATCCCAATAAAGGGAAATAAAAGGAGAGAGAGGGACTGGAGTATTATAAAAATAAAACCAGTTTATTTTATTTTACTTAAGTTAGACACACACATAAAACACAGACATTAGGCCTGTGACAATTCCCGCTGCCTACGTCCTACCCGTTACAGTTTAAGTTTAGAGACGTGCTCCAGAAAAAAAGTTCACGGAGACGGAGAGCCAGAAAGCACACCCTGTTTATTTTCTTTATTTTATAAAAGCACAATGTTTTGTTTCGATTGTAAGTGGACACATAAAAAAGTAGACATTTAACAGTTTATTTTTTCATATTTCTTAAGTCTCTATGACCATAAATGACAGAGTATTTTAAGTCTATTTTTCTGCTATGTAAAAAAGAATCCAGCAAAACGCGCCGGCACGTTTGTCGACCTCAGAGATTTAACAAAACTAAGGCAAGTAATACGGTCAGGGTTACATTTTAGACACACACACACACACACACACACACACACACACACACACCTCTGAAGGGATAGAAAAGTCCTCGGGACTTGGTACCGCATCACTCGCAAGACGCAACTTGGATTGTTGAACAAGGCCGAAGTCCACCATTCTCCAGTTCTCGAAGCTCTCTCTCTCGCTACAAAAATGCTGGCTACACACACACAGTTTAGATGTGTCCGTGGTTGATGGCCAGAGCCCTGGCAGCATCGCGGGGAAAGATATGCAACGCACTGGAACTTTTGCTCATCTACTGCGCGATATCACAGTTTGACATGTCTGTCATTTGAAAGATCCACGTGGTGTCATGAATAATTAAGAGACAGTGTCTTCTCATAGGATAAGAAAACTCAGTCTCATGAATAATTAAGAGACACCAATGAGTCATCAAAGCACTTACAGTGCACTGCCACGTCACAGCCTGTGACATAGACACGATGAAGATTTTAAACCCGGAAGACAAAAATAGCGGGAAAAAACTAAGATTGAACCATTTTCCCCCTACTATTAAATCTAATAGATGCTAACATTGTCTTCAATGGTGTTCAACCATGGTGCTCTGTTAAAATCTCAGAAAATTGGGTTTAGGGTTTCATGACCCTTTAATAAGATTAACTATATTTAATTTAAACAAATATGTCTGCTTGAAAGAATAAAGAATGATGTATGCAAGTTGTTATAAAGAATGCATCATTCATTGAAAAGAAGACCGTGTTCTACTTTAGGAGAAGTGGTTTTATTTGATTTTAAGATTTTCTTTTATGTCACAGCAGTTAAATCTGTGTCTGTATTGCATGTTCAAACTTTAAAATCATTCATATTAACAGGTTAATAGAGGTTTTCTCCGGAAGTATATAATGGGTTTGGACATTTGAGAGATATTCTAAGTTAATGCATTACAGTTTAACTAAACCCATTAGATTTTAGTCGACTAAAACTAGACTAAAACAATTCAGATGACTAAAATATGACTAAAACTAAATGGCATTTTAGTCAAAAGACTATGACTAAAACTAGATCAAAATTTCATGTCAATATTAACACTGGTTAAGACATCTGCTTAAAGGGTCACTTCACCCATTTGCATTAAGGTTTGTATTGTTAGAAACTCAGTCATATATTATAATGATGGTGGAATTTTGCTTGTTTTTTTTCTGAGATGGGAGAAAAAAGGATTTAAGTGTTTTACTTCCGTCCTATCGTGACGTAAATATCGTCATTTTGCGTCACGATAGGACGGAAGATAAATTTCATTGCATATTAAGAAAACTACAGCCTTTAGCTCATTATTATTCAAGGGCGTGGGACCCACTCACCCCACCGGCCTATTACAGATCAGTGGGTGGGACTAAACCTGAAGAAACTAAACTATTAATCCGCCATCTTGCTTGGAAGACAGCAAGCTAAGCTAACAAGCGCTCAAGCAGTTAGATTTACCATAATGCCTGAATTTACGACACACGAAATGGAAGACGAGGATTTTGAAAATCTTTTGCTCGAAACTGATGTTCGTGGCTATTTATACGAGCCACAATATAGCGAAGAGCAGCTGAGGCTGATGGAGGAACAAGAGGCGGCGGCGGCAGCGTCGGCTGCGGCAGCAGCCGCCGCAGGAGACCAGCCCGGCGCAGACGAGAAGCCCGGGCTTGCTCGCGCTGTAGCGAATTGGTGGTGCTCGTGTTGTAACTGTGCGCCTATGGACACCGAGCTAGAGTCTGTCTGCTGCAAATAATCTCTAAAATGCCAATTCCTTCTAGAAGAAATGTCAGAGGCAGACACGGACATGGAGTTTTGTGCACACGGACGTTTGTGTTGTGATGTGAACCATCCTAGTGTCGCACCGCATATGTTCTGACTGGAACATCCAGGTATCATGCAATAATTCACCATATAGAAAGAAATACAAACGAGGAGTAGCTGCTAATTCGCTAATGAGTTTGCCAATGTAACGGGGTTCGTTGTTGTGGGAAGAATGAGACGGGAATCGGCGAACATTTAAACATTTTAATAGTAAAATAAACAAATACAAAACAAAAGTATAAGCCAGCAGCCCCTCAATGCTGGCCACACACAACAGAAACAAAACACACCATAAAATCAGGCCTGTTCCTCTCTCGATCTGCCCTGTCGCTCCTCGTTTTATGCGTCCGCTCCTCGGTGAGAGACGCGAGAGAGACCAGTGCGTCTCACAGGTGTCGTTCATTATCACTCACGCCACCGGCCTCGCGCCGCTCTCACGTCCCTCGTCCTGCTCGCCACAGCCAACTAACTATACATTTTGTGTGAAATGAATTTCTAACTCTGGTGGCAGCTAACGTTAGCCCTGTAGAGTAGACGAAAGAGTGATTTCTCTGATGTTTGCGACTTTGCGCTGTTCTGGATTAGTGGGAGTGGCTTGCGGAGCTGTGCAACGTGGTGCATTCTGGGAGTTGTGGTCTTACACACAAATGCGCCCTAAAGTTATTTTCTGTCTTTTCTCGGTCAAGAGGGCACCAAATTCAAAATTTATTTTACATTTCGACTACATATATGACCCACTTTCAATAAAGATTAATGTTGAAATGGGTGAAGTGCTCCTTTAAAACATTACCATGCTCATGATAACTTTCATTAACTCTACAATAAGTAAATCCACTTCACCAGCTAATGACTCCTCGACAGCGATGCCATAGAAATATACAGAGCGACCGCAAAAACAGAAGTTCAAAGACAATATTCTAAAGATGCTGCGCGCTTGTGTCTCTGGCGCATAAGGTCTATACACGTCGAAACATTACCAAGGTCTGGACCTCAATGGTGTGTACGGCCCTGCATGAGGGCTAAATATACATGCACACACACACACACTATTAAGCACACAAGAAACACCTGAACACAATGAACCACATTTGTCCCAGTGAGCAAACCAAAGGTGACATTGACACGACAGAAGCTTAAAGTGTCATGAAACCCCCTGTTTTAGCTGGTGGTTCACATCTCAGAGCTGGAGAAGTCTGAGGAAATGTGCGTGTAAAGCTGTGGAAAAGTGGGAGTGTAGAGGGCGGGAAAAGGAGAGACAACAACCAATAAAACACAGACCTGCAACACACTCATTATACAGACACATGAATATTAAAATATGACTGCAGAGGGGAAAAATAAATGGATCTGAATGCACCTTGATGCATTATAAAAATATAACCCTATATAACACACTCACAAGAACGAGGGATAATTGTGTAAGAATGTTTAAAAGATCTAATAATATTTTCATTCCATTTATGAGCACTATAGTCTCTGAGTCTGAGCAAACGACACGCGTCAGTTTAACACAGAAATAATAAAGACAGTTACTTTTTTGTTCATTGTTCTTTTAATTGTCGTCTACATCATTGTGTTCTGTGTATCAGAATAATCCATTGTATCATCGCATTCATGATCAGATCAGATGTACAGCTGTATCAGTGTCTTTATTAGCACATATATTTTATTTGAAGAAGAGCGGTGCTGGTTCATGTTTAGAGCACTAGAGGATATGAAATATGTCCATAAAAACTTGAAAGGCGCTTGCTCTGGTCCGTATATGAACTATATGATCCGCGTTGCGAGCGCTGTTAAACTCATCGCGGCAGAAACCGTTCTAATGCTCCGCATGTTGTTTGAATTCTCCGCTGTGATGCGATGATGTAATGCGTAATACAGCGCAGTGATTGGATTGAACGAGCTCTTTCTCATGAATAAATGCAGAGTCGCTCAGAACTGCCTGACGTACTGTCGTTCTCTCCAGCCCCGGCAGCCAATCACACACTCCGAAAGCACGCTTCTACCTCATACTCAGCCAATCACACGCTCCGAAAGCACGCTTCTACCTCACACTCAGCCAATCACACGCTCCGAAAGTACGCTTCTACCTCACATTCAGCCAATCACATGCTCCGAAAGCACGCTTCTACCTCAGATACTGTATATATATATATATATATATATATATATATACATACATACAAGAATCAAAAGTTTAAACTAAAACACTTTATACTCAATATCTCACAATGAGTCTAAATACACATTATATTTGTACAAATATTTTCACCTTCGTATTTTGTGATCTGGTGAAATAAAGATGAAGATCTCTCTTCCTCTGTTTTATTTGCTGATGAAGATGATGTGACTTTACAGAATAAAGAGTCTTTATTTTCTTCATTCTCTCTCTCTCTCTTTTTCTCTTTCTCTCTTTCTCTCTCTCTCTCTCTCTCTCTCTCTCTCTCTCTCTCTCTCTCTCTCTCTCTCTATCTCTCTCTCTCTCTCTCTCTCTCTCTCTCTCTCTCTGATAATGTAGGTTAAGCTACTGTTATATGACAGATGAAGGTTGTTCTGATGTGACTTCAGCTCTGAAATCAAACCCGTCACACCTGAGAGAGCTGGACCTGAGCTGGAATAAACTAGGAGACTCTGGAGTGAAAAACCTCAGTGATCTACTGATGAACCCACAATTCAAGCTGGAGAAACTACAGTTAGTGTCATTATACTGTACAGCAATTACAGTGTGACTGAAGTTTATTTATTTGAAGACAGCAGGGCTTATGTTTCATTGTTTATAGCAGTGCACTTTCTGGGTTTCCCTATTGCTCACATTTTTATGTGTTTTTTATCTAGTTAGTAATTGTTTAATTTCCAGCATTTGATACAATGTACTGATTGTGTACATGCAGAAATCTGTCTTTTCAACAAAGAATAAAGAAGAGAGACGTCAAATAAATAGATAAAGATGAAAAATAAGAAACAGTGTCTTCCAGCACACAGAACTAGTGTGACTGGGTTTTAAAACAGACTATTGGAAACTAAATGCTGCTGTAGCTCTTCAATAAGATGATCATCATAGATGTGAACTATTGTTATTTCTCTGTCTTCAGTCTGAGTGATTGCAGTATTACAGAGAAACAGAGTCTCATCCTGACTTCAGCTCTGAAATCAAACCCGTCACACCTGAGAGAGCTGAACCTGAGCTGGAATAATCTAGGAGACTCTGGAGTGAAAAACCTCAGTGATCTACTGATGAACCCACAATTCAAGCTGGAGAAACTACAGTTAGTGTCATTATACTGTACAGCAATTACAGTGTGACTGAAGTTTATTTATTTGAAGACAGCAGGGCTTATGTTTCATTGTTTATAGCAGTGCACTTTCTGGGTTTCCTATTGCTCACATTTTTATGTTTTTTTATCTATACTCTGTGTAAATTATTCTGTGGCTTAGTAAATATCACAGTAATATTTAACTTTATTAACTTAATAAAATCTCTGAATATCATTTATTTAATTGTTTGAGCTAAACGTACCAAAATAATTGACTAAAAATACAACAGTTAATTTCATCTAAAATGTACAGTTAAATTTCATTTTTCTTCACTGTAAGAATTTAGTATTTGACTAACCAATTATTTATTTATAATACACTTAATATATTTGTGAAATTTCTATCAAAATATTTGAGATTGGAGAATTAAACTGATATGTTTCAAGAACCAAAATATTACTTAATTCAAATCAATATTATTAATATACAGTATATTACACACTCTTGAGAGATTGAGCAGATTGAGATTGAGCAGCTCAACGGTTGAGTGAGCGCGCGCTGTTTGAACTCTTCAGTCTCCAGATCAGTTCTCTCTTCTCAGCGGAGCAGAATTGGTGCATTTCCTCTGTGAAATTCAGGTGTGTGTGTTTTATTTTATCTTTTATTTTATAAAATCATTACTGTGTTTTAAATCGTTTTATGTAATGCAAAACAACATACTGGGACGCAATGTGAGTCACCTAAACGAGTGTCACGTCTGTTTTTTCGCTGATTGAAATGTCTGATGGCTTGCATAAAACACACGACTTTATTCCTAAAGATAATGAATATAACTAATTTGGATGATAAAATGTTCTCAGAACTGAGCACTGTTTGTTTATTGGCAGGTTATGGAGTCGCAGCATCTTTCGGCTCTGAGTGAAATGCAGGACGGCGGTCTGAAGTTGGAAGTTCACCCGCAGAGCGCGAGTCCGTCTCCGGCACCAGAACCAGCGCTGATCCGGTGGAAACTGGAGAACAGACCGGTTGATTACACTTGAATTAGGCGACCTGAATATTTAAATGTTTCATTTTTACTTCTAAAATGTTTGTTACATGAGTTTAAATGTAGGCAATGTTGTTTACATGTTAAAACAGTGTAAAATATGCCGTATTGATGTAACGCTATTTATCGACAATAAAGGCCAATGTCATGTATAGCTACCAGTGCTTGTATAGAATACTATTTCACAAAGGTTTACAGAAAATAAAAAAGTTAATATTACTCATAAACATTGATATTATTTTATGTTTTTCCACAATTATTTCTACTCAATTTTATTTGTTAATGTACCAGATGCAGTTACTCAGATCTACTTAATTGTTTTACTTACATTTACTCAGTTTATACAGTGTATTGTAATTTATTTCACTGCTTTAAAATTGAATCAATATTTTTGAGTGTAAAAAAATGTCAAAAAAATGTATTAAATCATATAAAACTTTTTAGAGTGTAGATAGTAATTGTTTAATTCCCAGCATTTGATACAATGTACTGATTGTGTACACACAAAAATCTACCTTTTCAACAGAGAATAAAGAAGAGAGACGTCAAATAAATAGTTAAAAATGAAAGAGAAGAAACAGTGTCTTCCAGCGCACAGAACTAGTGTGACTGGGTTTTAAAACAGACTATTGGAAACTAAATGCTGCTGTAGCTCTTCAATAAGATGATCATCATAGATGTGAACTATTGTTATTTCTCTGTCTTCAGTCTGAGTGATTGCAGTATTACAGAGAAACAGAGTCTCATCCTGACTTCGGCTCTGAAATCAAACCCGTCACACCTGAGAGAGCTGGACCTGATCTTGGATAAACTAGGAGACTCAGGAGTGAAGCACTTATGTGCCGTACTGAAGGATTCACACTGTAAACTGGAGAGATTGAGGTCAGTCACATTCACATACAAGGATCAAAATGCTTAAAATCACTTCAACTGTTTAAACTAGAACACATTAACATTATATTTGTACAAACATTTTCACCTTAGTATTTTGTGATCTGGTGAAATAAAGATGAAGATCTCTCTTCCTCTGTCTGTTTTATTTGCTGATGAAGATGATGTGACTACAGAATAAAGAGTCTCTTATTTTCTTCATTCTCTCTCTCTCTCTGCTAATGTAGGTTAAGCTACTGTGATATGACAGATGAAGGTTGTTCTGATGTGACTTCAGCTCTGAAATCAAACCCGTCACACCTGAGAGAGCTGGACCTGAGCGGGAATAAACTAGGAGACTCTGGAGTTAAAAACCTCAGTGATCTACAGATGAACCCACAATTCAAGCTGGAGAAACTACAGTTAGTGTCATTATACTGTACAGCAATTACAGTGTGACTGAAGTTTATTTATTTGAAGAAAGCAGGGCTTATGTTTCATTGTTTATAGCAGTGCATTTTCTGGGTATTTTAAACTAAAACATTTTATTCTCATTATCTGACAGTGAGTGAGTTCACATTATATCTGTGTAAAATTCTTCACATTCATGATTTGTTTGTAAGACAATCTCTCTTCCTCTGTTTGTGTCTCTCTAGACTATATAACTGTGGCATTACAGATGTTTCTTCTTTAACTCAGTCTTTGACTAACTCAAAAGCACTGCAGTTTTTAAAAGAGCTTGATCTGAGAGACAATAAGATAGGAGACTCAAAGCAGCGGCTCAGAGACGAGCTACGAGACTCAAACTGTGACCTGAGGTGAGGAAACATCACTGAGATATTAAAGAGATCTTCATTTACCTCTGATATGTGAACAATCCTTTCAAACATTCGTGAAAGGAAAATATCATAAAGCTTTATTGCAACAAAGGGTTTGTGTAAGAACAAAATGTGAAGTTATTGAAATGTTGAACACAAAGGAGGAAAGAGAACAAAAGCTCACTGTCACAGCTTTATACATCAACACCTGCTTTATGAACTGTGTCAGTAGAAGTGAATCATTTCAGTGTGAAAACAGACTTGGTCAGATTGTAGGAAACGCTGCACTCCTGCTAAAATCAGTGCAGTTCCAGCTTCAGCTCACAGCGTCCAGCTCACATGAGCAATGTCTCTGTCTCTAGTGTGTTTTTACTGTGACAAGCAACACATCACACTACTCTACACTTACTTTACTCTCAGTTATTTACTAAGAGCCTACAAACATGTTTAAACTAGAGGACAAACGGCTTTAACTAAAGGTCTGTGTTTAACTCAAAATAACATTAGTATTTGCTCCCTGTAGTTTATTCCATACGCTGTACACTCATTAGTTTCTCCTTTACAGAGACTCAATAGGAGTCACACCGACACACACAGACACACATATGAACATGATTCAGGTTTTACATCTATTATATTTAAAAACACAAATATCTATGCAGGATAATTTAAAGTCGGTTATTAATCTGATTACAGGAATTCAATTTAACTTATTTTTACTCAAAAAACAGTAATTGAAATATAATAATTTGCACTTTGTTCCACTGAACACTGATTGTTTTCTCTTCTGTTCCACTTCACAGTATATGAATGTAGATGAAGATTGATCATCAAACGTCAGTGGATTTACATCAAGGTTTAAATCTGTGAAACGGAGATGAGAGGAGCAGAAACCATCAGGTGATCCACAGAAGAGTCTCACTGCTGTCTATGAGGAGAAATACATGTGTAAATGTGTTTCATACAGGTGGAAGAGACTCAGACTTTACTATTAAATAAAGCAGCGTGTGTGTTAGCATGCGTATTAGAAACATGTGATATTGAATGATTAATGTTGGTTTATTATTCAGCCAAATGATGGTTTAGTTGTAATTAAAGGTGGAACAGAGGAAGAAGCTCAGATGAGTGTCAGCAGAAATCTTCACTATCAGGCCTGCAAATATAATAATGTTTAGACTAAACTCATCCATAATTATTCAAATATTTCTAATCATGAACGTGATTGTCAAGTATAGCACATAAATGTTTCAAAAGATATAAAGTTTACATGTAACTTTTAAACATTTACATTATCTCTCTAACATTTTATACACAGAATATGTTTATTGTTATTGTTTTATTGTATATGAAGTTAGTTGTGTGTGTATGTGTGTGTGTGTGTGTGTGTGTTGCTGATGCACAGATGTACAGTATATTGTCTTTGTTCTGTGGATGAAGTCTCTTCTCCTCTACAGACCGACTAAACATTTTCCCCAGTGAACAGCATTTGTGTGTGTTTCACTCGCTCCTCAGAGAGCAGACGGATGTGGGCCACTTCAGGCGATGATGCGGCACTGCAGGCCTTCTTATGGCCCCGACAAAATGTGTGTGAGCCTGAAGTGGCCCACGTGTAAAATGGCAAATATGGCCCAAATATTTTAAATCACATGTGGGCCTTTTTAGGCAAAGATGCGGCACTCATGGCAATGTGTAATCTGAATGTGGGCCTAAAGTGGCCCATATGATAAATAATGGATATGGCCCAAATATCACAAACCAAATGTGGGCCACCTATGGCAAAAATGTGGCACAATCGACAATGACTAATCTGGGTGTAAACCAAATATGGCCCACATATGTTGCAGCAAATGTGGCCCAGTTATCTTAAAACAAATCTGGGCCAGTTTTGGCAAAGATGAGGGACAGTAATCACTGTGAATCTGAATGTGAACCCATGGGCGTCAGTGTGGTCTGAAATGTGCTGGGGACAGAGACACATTCATTTATTTTTCTCTTTCGCGCAGGTCATGTTTTGAAAGATGCTGTCCCGTAGCTTACTAATGTAAAGAAATACAACTTTATACAAAAATGTGATGTCCGACTCGTTTTATAAAGAAGAAAGCCTTAAGTTTTTAAAAAGCATTAGACATATATGACCCACTATTCTGCTTCAAGTAGCCTACCATGTTGACAATATCCTCCTGGGACCCAAGAATAGACTTTTGTCCACTGTAGTGGACATTATATTTTAGTGAATTTCTCTGACATCATACATGTCACATGACACAACCTGGGTGTCCTGTAAAGAGCACATTCAGGACTTTTCAGAGATACCAAATGTTTGGAGGTTTCACCATGAAAACAACTTCTCCTTGGTCTTTAAAAATGTCTGACATTAATTTAGTGATCAAATGTAGCATTCTCATGGAAATATGATAATATAGTGTAATTATAATATAAATTGGACTACTTTTCAAATTGTATTTCATAAAACAACATCTCAGGAAAATGTTAAGGGGTTTTAAAAAAAAAAACTTTCTGTTACAGAACAGGGCATTGATTTCAAACGTGTCCACTGTAGAGGACATCAGGACTAAAATCATGTTTATCAGGCATTCTGGGAGACACAACAAGTGAATATGGAAATAAATTATACATCAATATTCCTATGAAATGTTAGATATTATTATTAAAATGTTGCCAATTATTACTCCAATTATTACCCTTTATTCTTTCATTAAAAGTTGCTCCCAGAACACATTAATGTGCAAATTAGATACAGTGTATAGATACATTGCATTGAATGGGAATATTAACTTATGGCCATTCTACCCACATATTGCAAAAAGTAAAATGGTGTATCAATTCATTCCATTATTTCTTTCATAACATAGTTGAGAATAATCTTTATACAAATTTTGGTTGAAAAAATCCTGAAACCCCAAAATGTATTGGTGATTGAAAAAAAAATCCCATTGTTTTTGCCTATACATATAATTTCATGTCATTTTATTTTTTAAACAACTTAGTCCTGGCGTCCACTACAGAGGACATAGCATAACGTATGAATAAAATATTATTTTATATATATGTTTTTTTACCATTTGTTTATTGTGCTCTAAACAGTGTGATGACATGGAAAAAAACTAAATTCAAAAAACTTGTTTTTTCTGGGTCTCAGGAGGATATGACATGACGTGGTTTAATGTACTTAAACAATGATTACCAAATTTCTCTCTCATGCTCCTCATAACCACTGAAAACAGTCAAAACAATCGAACCCAAAGTCCAGTTATTACGGACGTTATCTGACATTAAGCGTTTCTGCTTCACATTTTCAGCAGGGCAGCGGAGCGGCTGTCGACTCCCCGCGGTTCTCATGGACTTTATATATAAGTCCTAACGTGAAAAAGCTTTACTTGGTTTACCTAAACAACGATCACCAAACGATCACAGTTGTTGCAAAATAATTTGGACAACATTTGGCAAATGAATGGCACAGTCAGCACTGGTTAACCAGGGTGTAAGCCTTATGGCACAGTAAGCAACGTGAGTGTGTGTGTGTGTGTGTGTGTGTGTGTGTGTACTGTAGGGATGGGAAAATTAAGCCTCATGAAGCACTGAGGCTTTCCCCTGAATGTTTCGGGAAAAGATTCGAAGCATCAAGAGTGTCGAGACTTCCGGTAATGGCGGAGCAGCGCTCAGTCGCACCACAGAGCCGCTTGCTTAATAACAGTCTTCTGGCCTCACAACTTTGCTTTTAACGACGGTGGAACTACTTTATTGTTGTCGGTAACATTTTTACACCATATTATGTCCGAACAAAAAACAGAATAGGAAACATAAATGTAAAGGCAGAGCTCAAGCGCTGAAGCTAACGGACCACAACTACGTTGCTAGCCAAAAAGAAAACAACGGCGGGAAAATGGATGACGACTTCTCAACGGACTCGGAGGTTGTTACTCCGTGTGGTTGCCCCTCTTCCAGCCCTGCCTTAAAAGTAAAAAGGAAAGAAAGGAGCGACTTGTCTCTAGAGGATCTTCAGGCTATCATTCTGGCTGCAGTTAACCAGAGAGCTGATAACCTGGAACTGATGGTAAGAGACAACAAGTCAGGCATCGAAGAGCTGAAAACCTCCCTTAATTTTGCTTTCGTCGAAATTGAAGCTTTGTAAAATGAAAACAAAAAGTTATCTGAGCTTTGCAACAGTCATGAAAAAACTATAAAAAACATGGAAATTCGGCTCACTGAGACTGAAAGATACAGGCGGAGATGGGCTCTAAGGCTGTATGGGCTACCAGAGGAAAGGGAGGAAAATGTAAAAAGAAAGGTGATAGACATCTGTCAGCAAATAGGCCCTAACCAAAATATGAGTCAAGCTGGCAACACACACCCTCGCTCCGTGATTATCCTCTTTGCCTTCCGCACAGCGAGGGATGACGTCTGGAAAAATGCACGAAACCACACTTTCCTGAGGGAGAAGAGGCTCCGCTTCGGCGAGGATCTCACTCAGGCTGACAAGAAGACCCGAGAAAGGCTGTGGCGCCGCATCGAAGAAGCGAGGAAACAAGGAAAGCCAGCTTTTGTCAGAGGAACCCGAGCCTTCATAGAGGATGTGGAGATGCTTTAAGATGTTTCCTACGGAGCCACACTAGGACTTTGTTGTAAACTCTGACCTTGTGCTTCTCTTTCTGTTGCTGCTTTAGAGGGGAAGAAGATCTGTTCAGGTGACGGTGCTAATACCTATGTTGGCTATATCTGCTCATAGGGCTGAACTCCATCCTCATCAGGGTTTTATTATATATTAATAATAATTAATAATTGTATATTATTAACCCAGTCAGTCATTCATGAATAACACAAGCACTTTGTAATTACTTTAAAATGTTCCAAATTCACTTTAAAGAGGCAGAAGCTGTTATTGCTTAGGTTGTTTTTCTCTCGTAAAGAGAATTGTTCTTTAGCGGTTAATGAAAATACTGTCTATAAATGCCAGAGGACTACGAAACATTGTTAAAAGAAAAGCCATCTCTATTTTTTTTGTAAATAAATCATGTACTCATGTAAAGAGGAGGAAAAGTTATGGAAGAGTCAATAGAGGACATTTGGTTGACTCACGGATCCGCCACTCAGCAGGGGTTGCTATTCTCACTCATACATTTAAAGGAAAGGTTTTTAATACCGTAAGGGACACCGATGGTCACTGGATGGTTACTATTCCCTGTGTGGAAGATGCATTTTTTATTTTAGGCAACATCTATGGGTACTGCTCACTCTCACAAAATTCACAATTATTGGAAGAGCTGGACTCTGTATTAAATGAGTTGATGTCTAAATATCCTGTAGCTAAAGGGATTTTGGGCGGTGATTTTAATATGGTTATGGATAAACAATTAGACAGGTGCCCACCAAAACTAACTCCAAATTCAAAAAAACTAATTGACTTTACAAAAAGGCTGGATCTCATTGATATATGGAGAGAAAAACATACATCATTGAAAACATACACTTGGAGCAATAGAAAGCACACGCTGCAGTCCAGGAGAGATTTCTGGCTGATCTCGGCTGATTTAGACCCTCCATTGAGTCATGCACTGTTTCTCCTGCTGTTCTGCTTTTTATGAAAAACTTTACTCAAAAGATATTAATCTCAAAGATCCAAAGGAAATCTTTAGCTTGATTAACTCAGCTAACTGTGTGGATGCAGAATATAATCAAATCTGCTGTCAGGACATAACTCTAGAGGAGATTATTTGGGGAATAACTCAATTAAAGAACAATAAATCCCTAGGCTGTGATGGTCTGAGCTCTGAGATGTAGAAATGTTTCTCTGAGTCACGGTAAATTTCTTCTGGCTGTCTTCAGAGAATCTCTTGACAGAGGGAGCTTCCTCCTTCTCTGAGGCGTCACAACACTTATTCCAAAACCTCACAAACACTTGCTGTTCATTGACAACTGGCGACCCATTACATTGCTAAATAATGACTGTAAGATTCTAGCATCTATCTTAGCAAAACGTATCAAATCTAAATTACACACTTTAATTGATGAATGCCAATCTGGTTTGATGAGAGATCGTCACATAGCCAATAACATTCGCTTAGTTTTGGATCTGATTGAATACAAAGACTTTCTAGATGATGAACAACACCTTATTTTATTCTTAGACTTTTAAAAAGCCTTTGACACGGTAAGCCACAAGTTTATTATTGACACCTTAAACTTTTTAAATTTTGGTAAGAATTGTATTAATGCTGTAAAAACTCTGTACATGGAGGAAACAGTTGTGTTAGATTGGCTAATGGGCTAAACTTCCTCAAACCTGTGGAGTTTTTTTTATTAATTTTTTTATGTTTATTGCAAACTCTCCTAGAGACAACAGCAAAAAAACAAACAAAAAAAAAACAGGCAAGGCATCAACAAAATGCAGATTGACAATGAAAAAAAATAAAAAAAAATAAGGCATTGTTCTCAAATAAATAATATCTGTTACAAAATCAA